GGGAGGAGAGAGACGAGCGACTTCAAGGATGTACCTCAAGACTTCGTCCTCGTCCTCCAGATCCAGGGAGTCCCAAACGCTCCGGGCATCGATCTGAAGATTGCCGTACTTCACCCCCGAGGTGCAAAACCAGGTCAACATGCGAGAGCCCTGAACACCAGCGATCCGGATGATGCTTGACATCAGCAGGGCCAGCTCTTTGGCAGTCATGTTGTTGTACTCAGCCTTCACCTCGCTCTGATCTAAGGGCTGTGATGGGTCTTGTACTTTATAGTAGGACTGAAAATAAGGAACCCTGAGGAAGAACCTGAGTTAATCTGTAGGTTAAGGCTTGGGGCTTTTGGAGCTTCGGCTTTGCCCAAGATCGCACAGATTCTTCCCCGCGAGCCCTGAAAACAACCCTGAGCACCAAGTCCTAAGCCTAACTGACTAAAGCCCAAACCCTGAAGATGTCTTCATCCCACCTCGAAATTGCTGAAGGCCGGGGACATCTCGTAGAGGGCGGCAACCTTCGCAATCCTTTCGTGCTGTGAGAAGAAATGTCCCATGGGGTCCAGGTAGTGCATCAAGCCAAGCTGTCCGGTGTAGAAGGCATTCAGGCTGCTCATCACCTCCTCGAACAGATTGCAAAAAGAGCTCCGGTCCAGGCCAAACCCTATTTTCGAAACCCTAAACCATAAGGCCATAAGGGGATTCAGTGTCCTTGTCTTGAATGTCCAAGCCAAAGAGCACATGGTGCAGATACTTCGTCCAGAAGGCCTGGTTGCCACCCTCAGCTCCATAATAGAAGTCGAAGCCGACATCCTGCTTCATGAAGTCCTCGGCACTGCGTAGGCTTTAGGGCCTTTAGGGTGCGGGGTGTGGGAACGGTTTAGGGTGTTTAAAAGCTTTGGGTGGAAGTCCTCTGCGCACTGCTCCATAAGTTGCTGGGAGATCGCATCTGATTCCCTGGCCACCGAGGCCTCGTTCAACAAAGTCTCCACCATGCACTGTCGGAAGGCCTCGTGATCCCCCGTGCCCCCGGCAGCCTTGCTTGAGAGGCTCAGCAGGAAGACACAACGGCCGGACTCCCCTTGGGGCAAGGAGCTGGGCAGCAAGGGGTGCTCCCCCAGCCAGAAACTTCGACCCTGGGGATTCTGCACGGCCTTCGTCACATCGGCATGGCTGCCCAGCCAGACCTGTCCGGAGGCGCAGAAGTTGGTGCCCCAGTTGCGATAGGTGATCATCGCATTGTTCGTGTTGCCGGCTGAGATACTGTCGACGATCTGGGCGTTTCAGACAACAACTACAAAGAACCTCCAAAGGCATCCTGTTTGTAAGAAATCCAACCTCTACTGGTGGCAAGAGGAGGCGAGCGAGGAGGTTCCATGGCTGCTGGAGCGCCCAGAGCTGGAAGTGATTCTTGAAGAAGAGGATGATCGTCAACTGTCAGGTGTTCAGGTGTTCCGGGTATACTACAATCACCATTGATCCCTAGAACGTGAAACTTCAGGATTAGGGCACATGATAAGAACATGCAAACTACCAAACCGACACCATGCAGGATAGGTAAACCGCAACCCGAAACCTACAAGAATTGTATTGGTCACCTTTGAGCCCTAGCCTTTCAGGGAAGAGAATACCGATTCGTCTCTTGTTCCCGAACGGCTATGGGGCTGAATATAAATTAGAGACAAAAATAGTTGGAATGGGGTGTAGGGGTATATTCTACTAGACTTATGTTTCAGACTTGTTTTTTATGCTGAGCTCTTGAGGGGCCCTGTGTTTCTGCCCCTTACATCGCGCGGGTTCCGTTGAGGGCGCATGGGACCTCGCCTTCATAGGGCTTCATTATTGGGCTGAAGCTGTGTGTGTGGGCATAATGTGGCCGAAGCGGCCTCCGTGATGAGGTAGAGGAGAATGATGCCACCGAGGCCGCTTGACACATACCAGGGGCCGAAGATGCTGAAGAGGAACACGGCCGTAACAAGTACCGGCAGCACGAAGAGCCAAAACACCTTCCAAGAGACCAAAGGTCCTCGCAGGAAAGTTCAGAAGCGCCTTGAACACGAAATGCATAACGTGATGGACCCGAAACAAACCCAAAATAGGTCCGAGAGCAGGCTTTATTTGGGGCTTCTTTTTGGTTGCATAATGTTTTTCAACACCGCCTTTGCCTCCAGAGCCAGCTTGAGCTCCATTTCAGGGTTACTCTCTGCTTCTATGATGCTAGGACATCACTCTTATGATCACGGTATGCACCCCCCTCCCCTCGTATCCGGCCCCCAGAGACCCCATGATAGAAGGAAGGATACAAACATGCAGGCTAAGATAGGGGCCTCAATAGCTTTTGTTCATAGAGCTTTGGCGATCTCGTACTGTATAACTGTAATCAGGAACCCTCAGGAATAGCATTCGTAGTTATTCAGGCTCCTTTCGTAAAGCCGTGGCCAGGATTAGGGGCGACAAGTTTGACGACACCCGGAAGGAGACTCCATAGTTCTTTGGAGGAAGACAGAAAGGCTTCACGGCGACCTAGACCGAAGTAGAAAGCCCAAAACCCCTAAGAACAATAAAAGCATTAACAACAGCGATACTGATGAAAAAAAGCCTAAAACCCCCAGCTCGGACTCCAAACTGGAAGCGCCTCCCAGCACAGGAGTTGTTTGGGACATGACGCCGAAGGCAGGCAACACTTCTGTGAAATCTGCAAAGATCACGAACTGCTTAGCTCTAACACGTAGATCTGGACTTCAAGCCGTAAACCCTAGACCTTAAGCAACACATCTTAAGCCTTGAAACCTGTCTAAGCCTGCACGCGAATCCGACTGAGCAAGTTAACGCTAGTCATTGGCGCAAAGATTTCACAATGTTCCCATAATGACAGGAATGCCAGGGTCGTAAAATCAGAAGCACCTTTTTTGGGACTCCTTGTCTTTACGGCTTCTACTGATCAGTGTCCCTAAGTTTATGAGACATGCCAAGACCCAGTGTCATGCCGCTTTTGAGCCTGATAGCCATCCAGGGATGAGGCTTCAGATGTATATAACGAAAGGGTCACAAGACTTTGCGTAACAAGAGTTTGCAAGAGAGAGCTTAAGAATCCAAATCCCTAGACCGAGACCTTCATCACAAATAAAGCTCCTCTCACCCCCAGGAGTCGACGTGTGTCAGAAGAAAAACTCAGCAAAACTGCACATCAGCAGCTAGCGCAAGCGGGCTGGCATAAATCGGAAGGCTGTACAGCACAGGAACAATCAATGCCGTGAAGCAAACAATGCAGTTAAAGGTTAAACACAGCTTGCCATAAAGGCTGCAAAAGTGGTGGCGGCGGGCGTGGCGGCGGTAGTAGCAGTAGCAGTGGCAGCAGCAGCAGCAGCAGCAGCAGCAGCAGCAGCAGCAGCAGAAGTAGCAGTTGTCGTCGTCATCGTCGTCATTGCCGCTATCGTCGTTTTCGACGTCTTCGATGTCATCGTCGTCATCGGGTCGTTGCAACAGCAGCAGTAGCTCAAGGCTACAGCATGTGGTAGTGCTATGTTCGTCGTCATTGCTGCTATCGTCGTTTTCGACGTCTTCGATGTCATCGTCGTCATCGGGTCGTTGCAAGAGCAGCAGTAGCTCAAGGCTACAGCATGTGGTAGTGCTATGTCGTAGTCTTAATGATGAACACGACTCTTGCATGTGACTGGCCCTCATGCAGACCATAACCTGTTCGAGCAACCAGGATCGAAGAAAACTGCGCCGCCAAAGAACCCATAGAACCCGAAACTGGAGACCCTTCAGGTCGAAAGCTACAAAAACCTCGGAATAATTACCCCGGCCCTGCTGCCCAAGCTCCCAAGCAGCTCTTCCCGCAGCCAAAAAAACACGCAAGGAGCCCAGAAAGCTATACTTCATACTTCCTTCCCTTGAAAGATCTGTTATTCTCCCCGAACCAGAAACTGGGCCCCACGGTCCCGTGTATTCCACTTTCGCCCAGTCACCAAGGCTTGAACCGCCGTGAAAAGGCCGAAAAAGCGCTCCTGCACCGCTTATCGACTGGGGTCGCCGCTGCGAGGGTTCAGGGTTTGGGCAACTAATCATGTGGTACCATGGGCAGGAGCAGGAGCGGGAGTGGCAGCAGCAGCAGCAGCAGTAGTAATAGCAGCAGTAGCAGCAGCAGTCACAGTTGCAGTAGCAGTAGTAGCAGCAGCGGCAGCGGCAGCGGCAGGGGCAGCGGCAGGGGCAGGGGCAGGGGGGGCGGTAGCGGCAGCGGCAGCAGCAGCGGCAGCGGCAGGGGCAGCGGGGGGCAGGGGCATTGCAGCGGCAGTGGCAGTCGCAGTGGAAGTAGCAGTAGCAGTGCAGTCGAAATGGCAGTGGTGGTGGTGGTGGTGGTGGTGGTGGTGGTGGTGGTGGTGGTGGTGGTGGTGATGGTGGTGGTGGTGGTGGTGGTGGTGGTGGTGGTGGTGGTGGTGGCAGCAGCGGTAGAAGTATTTACAATTCAAACTTCTGTAGTACCCGGTCGAGCCACTAAAGTGGTCCCCGGCTCAATGCCGGTTCCGCCGAAGCCAAGCCTTTGTTGCTTTGGAAGCCTAGGGCTTAGGGTTTAGGGAGTGGGGCCTAGGTCCTGGGGTGAAGGATTTAGGGCTGAAGGATTTCGTCCTGAGGAGGGACTAGGCTTGGGGATATCGGGGTTCAGGGATTGAGGCTTTGGGGGTTTCAGAGTGTAGCGATCAATTCAGAGGGTTCGAAGAGCCCGGCGGCTGGCAGAAAAGGTAGTTCAGCGACGTGGTGTACCGGTAAAATATTGGCCGGCTGTCCTCGCGAGCACCCCAACGTTTAGACCAAGTTCCATAGCGACGTGGCGTACGAGTCACAAAGGTAAGATCGAGGCAGAACAAAAAGAGTTTCAACGGGTTTCGGGATCTTCAGGTGTTCAGGATGCACATCAGTGGTTCAAGACTCGAGATGCTGCGGGGCTCAGGTTATCACAGCTTCAGGTGCTGGACCATTTATGAAGCCCTGGCCCAGCGTGATACTGCTCAGTGGCAGCAACAGCGGGAGGAGAAGTAGCAGTTCCACGGGAGGTCAGAACAGCTCGTCGTCTTCGTCCTCTCAATCCTCAAATCCAAAACCCGGACCTTACGCCTTATCATACAACAACTCCAAACAGCAAACGGCCCGCATCGGTCCAGGCTGTTCACTGCCACCCAACCTTGGCTGCCACCCACCGTACCGACGTAGTACCAGATGCACGCGATGGCGTGGTGGTTCAGCATGATCCTCAGGTCTAGGGTTTAGGGCTCATTCTTCACGGTCTTGTGTTTCAGGGTTTCGGGGCCCTGAGGCTCTCGCTATGGAACTTAATCTAAGTCGCCATGGAAAGGCAAGCAGAACGGAATTCAAACTACATGCCTGATCATGCCTGAAAGGGAGCCTAATAGATCGGAGGTTCAGAGTCTCCAGAGCCTTTGGGGGATCTTAAGTCCTTGGGGCAGTACAGCATCTCCTTTGGGATTGGTTTTTGGGTTCAGGGATTTTGGTGATCAGGATCCGTGCTTCAAAGATAAGCGGGGCTGATGGGTGGAGCGCCCTAGACCCTGGAGGGCATGGCCTGCGCCAGAGCACGAGGACTACACCTTGTATGGTCCGACATGGGTACTATTTCGTTCTCCTTTGGCTTACTGGGCTCTCTCATTGAAGAATATACGCTAGACTATAGCGAGATTCTGATATGATGCATGGTATATCCCTGAGTTGAAATGTGTGAATTTTTTGGACTTACACTCCCCGCCTAGGATGTCTGCTCAAAGCCTTCCTCACAAGAGCACTTTGGAAGTTACTGGTCGAGGGACTTCGCTGAACTCGCAATTTTGAGGAAAACAGAATCGTATTTCTAGCCATACACCCCATATCCAACCCTCATGAAAGCTGCCTAGAACCCTTACAAACACCCGTACAGGACTCACCTCAAGCTCCTGCCCGAAGCCTCCAGCTAGCAGCTAGTATAAATCCTACCTGCTTGTTACAATCCTGGCCCCTAAACCCCAAAATTAAAACCCTAAACCCATGCAGACCTAAGCCTTACCCCCGAAACCCCTAGATCCCGAAACCCGCAGCCTCAAACCCCAAACCCTTGAAGGGTGGAGGCTCAGGTGGGCCAAACAGTGAGAGAATAGCGCCATCCACATACTAACCGTGTTCTACCAGTGGTACCATGCACTACATATGTACTGTATACATATACATATGTATACAAATGTTGTGTGTGTTCGCGTGCGGATACAGACGGGTGTGTCTGTGTGTATATGTATGTGTGTATATATATATATACACATGCTTTATGGGTGCGTTCATGTGTATAGTATAGTTATCTATTTGCTTATGCCTTTACATTTATTGCTGTCTTTATGCTTACTATCGATGTGTAAGCCTGTTACAACCCCAATACCACAAGCTGAGTTGCTGGGCCGAGAGTTGCAGGATGCTGGCGCTGGCGATCAGGATGTCCGAGGTAAGCCGTGTTTTGCTCGACTCCTGGATGATTTTGTGCTGTTTTGGTGGCTCTATACTAACATGGGTCTTGAGAATGAGGGTGAGCTGTTGTGTATGCTGTGTCTAGCGGGGTGCAGGGTTTCGAAGGGGTTGGGGAGAGTTTTTCTTACATAGGGTTTGAGACTGTTTAAAGCGAGCTCATAGAGGCTTTATGGAGGCTATAAAGGTTTTGTAGGCATAGGAGATCATGCGTTTTTTTGTGTTTGGGGGTGTAGGCTTTATCTGCTGGGCTCCTCGGCCTGCGCTTATCGTGTTCACGGCATGGTCTTGCTTGGTTTCTTGGGGGGGGGTTCGGGATGAGGATAGTCTTCGAACCCTTCTAGGGTAATTTCTAGACTTGGAGATGGGGTTTCCAAGTTTCTGCTTGCGGGTTTTTGCGTACTCCTGATGAAGTGCTTAGGGGTCTCTCTCGGCTCAGATCTTGAGAGTGCAACGCCCTGGTGGCGTGTATTTCTCGGTAATTTAGAGGTTTTCACACGAGTTTATGCACCCAGAATATTAAGCGTTGTGTTGCCTCATCCAGGCATGCACCCTTGATTTTGAGTCTTGGGCATGTCACGAAGTAGGAGTTTGTTGGGGAAGAGGGAGGAGGTTTGCCATCCAGCATCTCCATTGAAGTTGAGGTGCGTGATCTGGCATATCATGTCAAAATCATTAAGAATCCATCACAACCCCTGGGTGTCTATCCACATATGCATCTGGCTTTAATGGATGCGTGTTTATGGAAATGTGTATATTTACATGTGCATACGAATGCTGACCTGTAACTTAATGTATATATCATGTCTTCAACTAGGGATTGAAATTGTGGCGTGGGCTGCAGCATAAAAGCGACTATATTGACAGGCAGACCGTCATCGATGTGTATATACAACCGCATCTGAAGCCGTGGCTACACTTATAAAGCTCTGAGGGGTTTGCCACCTTTGAAGGTTTGCTACCCCGTCATCTACTATTGAAGCCTTGGATTGAGAGTGCAATATCTTCTAGTCTGCCTGTATTTGGGAAAACAGTCATCGATTTGAGGATCCAGTTGTGGTTCCGCCACTCATCGAACTTCTACGGGGGTTTGGCTCATTACATCCATGCGCGGCACTGCGTTTCAGCCGAATGTCTTCCAGTAGAGTTTGGATGCTCTGGACACACGTCATCGTTTTCGGTACTCAGGTTCGCTACACACTATATATCTTTCGTGGATAAGTGTAGCCCGTGATATGTACTAAAGTGTTCAGACTCTGGTTTTTATTCTGGTGGTCTCCCAGCATCCCCTAATGTGATTTGCATTTCTGGCTGGGTGGGCCACACCTTTTAAGGATTAGCTTACGGTGTAATAGGGCATGTTAATCAGTTATTCTATTGAAGACCTGTTGTTCGCCATCATCCACCCACTTCCATGTAAATCCCAAAGACAATGTAATTACCCATTTCCGTGATGCACACAAAGTTATATGTGTGTGTATGCATGTATACATGTGTCATCCACCCATAATATGCTTGCAAGGTTCCAATTTACATCGTGTGTGCAACTGCAGCGTGGCCTTGCGGTTACATACCCAGGTACTTGCATGTATATCGCAAAAAAACCTATCTATATGTGCATATTTATATAGAGATAGATTTATGCATATACATGTGTGTGCGCGTGCATGGGCTTCCAAAGTTCACGAACTTGTATATGGTTGCATAGGCTTCGAGAGTGCATGAACTTGTATACGTGCATATCTATATGTATATATATATATGTACACACACATATATTACATGTATATGTAGATGTATATATGTACAGGTGTGGAGGACGTGCTTCCACACAGATTTGAAATTCCGCATCCTGTACCCACCATGCCCTTTCGGGGTTTGGGATAGGAGCCTGCGGCCCTCCATTTTCCTTTCAGTGCATGGCTGCCTAAATGCCTCATTGTTGCATACACATATGCTCGCTTATTTCAGAAATATTGCACATGTTTCCGTGATACTTATGTATGTACGTATATACCCGTGTATGTACATATGTATTAAGCATATATGTATGTGTGCATAAGGATGGGAAAAGCATGAACATGGAAACAGCATGAGCATGTGTGTATGTAAGCTTACACATCCATATGCAGGTGTGTATGCATGCCTTCATGTCATATACCAACATGCATACACAGACGTGTATATAGATACATACATATATATGTTGGTACAAACATCTATATACCAAGGTTGGCTTCCAGGTAACTATATATGTTCCGCCTCAAATGTAACAAGGATATTGTAGCTTGCAATTTTTACTGCATTGTCTAAGTTTCTGGGTGAGGGTCCAATATCTTCTACAGTCTAAGGTTTTGGGTTCGCCACCCAGCATCTCTTGAGACGGTTAGGACCATCATATGCATTTGGGTTCGAGGCCCAATAACTCCTTCTGAACTTGGGTCCCGGTACAAGGATCTTATTCCCATCATACTTTTACTGTGTAGAATGAATTACCCATCATACTTCTGTCACAGTTTTCAGGTGTTGGAGCCGCTTTCCTAGGTGGTGGACAACACTAGCAAGCGTAAAGTCTTGACAGAGGGATGTTTCATTGGACAGGACAGGATTGGTGGCATACTGGAAACCTTGAAATGATTGAGCAACGCTGGATTGGGAGTGCCAAAGGCCGAAGGCTCCAGGCATCCTCTGCTTACAGACATGCGCCCTCCGGATGGCCCCTGGGGGCCGGGCGCCAAAAAAAAAAAAAAAAAAAATTGGCCAGAGATTTTGCACACAAGATTTTTTTTTTCTTTTTTTTTTGGCGCCCCCCCCCCCCAGGGCTCCAGGGCTCCAGGCCTCCAAGCCTCCATACTCCAAGGCCTAGAGGCCTAGAGCCACACCTTAAGGCCATGCCCTTATGTCCTTGAAAGTTTGTCCCATAACTTTATCTCTCTCGGACCGGTGTTCGGTTATGCCCGAACAATTTCAAATGGTTTGGTGGAATTTGTTGTCAATTCAGAACACGTCGTAAAATGTTGTATGCTGCTAAAACAATGTTGCGGGAAACGAAGAGCTTGCTGAGCTTGCCATCTGAGAGTGCAAGTGAAAACACGAACACACGAAAAAGCACGCCACCAGGGCGTGATGTTCTGCAGATTTTAGGGGTGGGGTTCTGTTCTCCAAGGTCCTTAAGGCTTTGCATCCCAGAAGTAAGCTTTAGCTCCTGGTTCAGGCTCGTCACTGGGTGTCGGGGTTCGGAGGATTCTGCAAGTGGCTTGGCGGCTTCTGGGCTTCCAGGTATCAGGACCTTTGAACAGAAACTCCCGTTTGTGAGCCTTAGTTCGACCCCGGTTGAGGTACCCCGGACGGACAATCCCAAAAACCCGAGCAAACGCTCTGCCTAAATCCATTCTCCAACTGGCAAAGCCCGCCTGAACAAGAAAATACATGGTCCCACCCTGTCCACTGAACAAAGGCACACAAAGGCTGCAGGCCTTAAGCCCTGCAATACATAGCTCCCAGGTGCGAACAACATGCAACTTCTGCCCAAAAGCCCTTCCGCCTGAAGCGCTGACATCCTGAACTTGAAACCCTGCAGCACCAAGCTCTTGCAACACCCAACCACAAACTCCAAAAACACCACCCGAAACCCGAAGCCGCAAAAATCGAAATGCTGAATTTCATATTCCTTGGAGCCCTCGTAGAAACTGTTTCGATCTCTTCATGGAATCCCAAACTCTACACCCCACAGGCCTCATGAAACATAAAACCAAGTCACCGCCATCTTGGAGAGGCGCATGAGGCGAATCAACCGCAGGAAAAGTTGCCTCATATTGATGGGACAAAGAACCTGTAGCATGGTACAAAATAAGATCATAGTAAGACAATGCTATAGGTAGCTATATTAACGGTTTAGGGTTTAGGGTTTAGGGTTTAGGGTTTAGGGTTTAGGGTTTAGGGTTTAGGGTTTAGGGTTTAGGGTTTAGGGTTTAGGGTTTAGGGTTTAGGGTTTAGGGTTTAGGGTTTAGGGTTTAGGGTTTAGGGTTTAGGGCAGCTATATCATATATCTAGGGCCCCGATATTGATACTGGAGATTCGAGACGGCTCCCTGTGTGGCTTGGTTTCGGATTCAGTGATGATTGTCACGAAACGAGACACTTAGTGACTAAACGGATTCCAATTAAGACTAAGCCGAGTCAGACCGTCACTTGCCTTCCCGCGGGCACAATTAGGGTCTAGGGTTTCGGGGTTTACGGGGTTGTGGGACCCTTCGATGGGGTGTAGGGTCGAGGGTTTAAGCTGTCAGGCTTTGTGGCCACATACAGTCCGACAGTTCAACCATGCTGCATGACTGCATGCGACGTAGGGGTAGAATAAATAAGCCTGTGAGTATATGAGGATCACTCGCAAAGAAGACAAGTCCCAATGTTGCAACAGTATGTATCCTAGAACCCGCACACCAAGCAATAAGAAAACAGTCCGAAACCGCTAATCGGCAACACCTGACAAACCTCTGCAGCTTCATAAAACCCCAAAGCTCTCCCAGTAAGGCACAAAACACAAAAACAACTACAAAATACAAAAGAGGGCATTGACCCCAAAACCTAAGGCTCTAAGCCTAATAGAGGGGCATCAATAAATAAAATGAGGTCCATTTATCCCATAATTAGCGACATGTATATTCGGGACTAAACAAGAAACATATTGTAACTAAACACGCTTCCATACTACTCTGCAGCCGCCAGCACATGCAGCCCAAGGCGGTCATGAAGCTGAGGGCCTCGCCCTGCGCAGGAGGGTTGCGAAACAGCAGCGGGTTGGTAATTTGCAAGGATTAAGGCTTAGGGTTTAGTGTAGGTATTTACAGAGCTGAATGGTGATTCATAGGAGCTTTTCGTACAGGCCTCAGAGTTGCCGTTTTGACTAAGGGCTTCAGAGTCTACAGTGAAGGTTCTTAAGTTCAGGCTTGCTTTGCGCAGTCACGGTTAAAAGGATCTCAGAGCTCGGAGATCACACATTCCGGGAGTACCATGTGTTGTCGGAGTAAAAACTTCGGCTCTTGTGGCGTTGGGCAAAAGCCGGAAAACACCCATGAACCACCCCTATAGCTGCGAATTCGTGGATACACAAGACGTACCATTACAGGAGAGTTTACTAGTCTTAAGTCTTACAGCTTAGATTTCCGTTATGGAACGCTTTGAGATCTCATGGTTGGGATAATGTGCTTCCCTTTCCAAAAAAGCACGAGACTAAGCTTCACACCTGCACGTCATTCGACAGCTGCAAAACCACCCAGGCCAGGCCCAAAGCTACGTAGAGGACGTCGAAGGACAGCCAACCGCGCATGTAGTTCTTCCTTCGATAATTGGGATTTGGCTTTCGTCTTATGGGTCTTCAACAGGCAGCACCTTCAAGGGGATGATAAAGGAGGAGGCAGAGCATCATATCAATATGTGATATCGGAGAAGGAGGAACCAATATCCAGACCCTGCGTAGCAAAAATAATAAAGAATCAGGACCGTTGAAGTAGCTTCTAAAAACCAAAAGTGTGCTCTTGATCAAGTGTGTATTAGCAGTCAAACAGCCGGCGCAGCAGCGGCAGCAGCAGCAGCAATAGAGGCAATATATTACAGCAGCAGCAGCAGCAGCCGGCAGTAAGAGCAGGTCGTCGCCGTCGTCGTCTTCATCGTGGTCGTAGTAGTGTCAACATCAAAAGCACCGCCAGCCTTAATTCAGGCATCCTGTGGCACCAGGATTTGGTAGTGGTCATCATCGCAGTGTCTATGAACAAACTCAAGGACCGGTTTTGGTCACCATCGGAGGAGGTTCTTGGTCTAGTTGCATCCGACACCCTAAACGACCCTTTCATCAAAGGATGGGGAACCACAGAATTCAAAACCAAACACCTCAGCCGCCTAAACCCCAGATATCTGGATCTGAAGCCACCAGTTTTGAAACCCTGAAGCTTCGCTCCCGAGAAAAACGCTCACACCTAGAGCCCTTAACCCCAAGCTCTAAACCCTACCCTAAATCCAAGAAGACTGTCGCGTCACTGTTCGAACCAGGCGTCGCTATCAGCTTCCGGTTCAGCACCAGAGTTCCATGCAGAAAAAAACCCGTGTAGAAGGTAACCTCAGGAATGTGCTGCAACCCCAAACCCTTGAGCACAAGAACTGGACAAGACAGTGACGGCTACATACTTCGCCGATTTCCTCATAGTGGTCTTCCGACTGTAATCAATCGTTGAATGACGGACCTGCTGTGGGTAGCGAGCTGGCCGATTAGCCACTGAGCTCCTTCGTCCGTTACTCGGCCACTTGATTCTTTGGGTTCATCATGTTGTTCGTAGGATCAGCTCCTAAAATCATGAGTTTACTTCATTACTGGCTTTTGCAAACAAGCAAGTTAGCTAGCTCGCAAGTCAGTTTTTGCTAGCAGCGCTGGGAGCTGGCTGGCTAGTTGGTCAGCTAACAAGCCAGCTGATAGTTCCTCAGCCAGTAATCACTAGCCACTGCTCCGCCACGGCAACCAAACATAATCGAACCAGCATCATCAGTTCCACACTGCAACCAACGAGAGGATAACAACGACTACTTCCAAACTACCTGAAGTGACGGTTTGCTGCTGCTGTTGTTGTTGGTACCACTGTTGTTTCTGGGGCGATTTTTCTAAAAACCACGACTATCGCAACCTTCAGCGATGATGGCCAAAAGGTCGGCGAACATCGACTGCTGCTTCTTCCTCTACGCTGGCACCACTGCTCCTAGCGCTGTTTCCCGTCCTCCCGAGTCGACGAGAACAACGACGACCATGTTCACGACCACGGCAAGACCACGGCCACAACGATTTTGCGCACAATCGAAGATTATCTGAAACGTGATTCGCCCTTTCTCCCACGGTCGCGAAGGAGGGCATCGTGCTAACTCAACGGAACATTGCTCCCAGAGACCCGCCACTGGCAAAAAATCTTATTCGCATGGTGGCTCGCGGTTTTCGAGATTATAGTCAACAGTAATACAACCATCTCAGCAGTGCCTTCCTCGCCAGCTTCAACGAGAGCTTCTAACTGCTACTTCGACATTACGGGGCTCAGTCGCACGGTGTTCATCATTCTGTGCTGACTGCTGCGACTTACGTGACTAGAAGCACGATGATTACACTACGGCCCATGCATGTCCCGACGGCAGCAGAGCGTCAGCAATGTCTGCGGCCCAGAAGAGGTGCAGCAGTAGCTCAAAGATCGTCCTCCAGTCTGACCCCTTAGGACCCTTGACCCCTGCACCCTTGCTTTTCCCAGCCCTGGAGGTAACCTTCGGGACTGGCCACGGATGACACGACTCGTAGTCTTCATTCCTCAAACTCAGGTTTTTCGGGATGACACGAAAATGGAAGAAACGCAAGAACTGAGGAGGCTAGCGCCACTACGGCGACGACAACGGTTTGACGGGACTCGGTTGCCGTCCGATGCGAAACAGCATGAAGACTTGAAACCGTATCCCATACTGAACGGACATCCACCACCCAGGACTGGCTGACAGCTTGGAACTTGAACTCAAGGCTCGTGCTTTCGTTTGTAGGCAAAGCCTCAGAAGCTTTCTGGGCATCGGGCTCTCCCAGGAGTTGTAGCCTGTAAGGTACTAGGATCCGACGCTCCAAAGCAATGAAAGGGCAAAGCGGTAAAGACGCGAAGCCTCGAACCGCACCTTGCACCTCAAAGCCCTCAACTTTAAGCCCCAATCAAAAGCCTGGGCCCTTAGATAAGTCGGGCAGCAAGGTTGCCCCTGCTCTCCACTGCGAAAAGGCATGTAGTGGCAGAAGTATCAAGTCAAGGGTAAGGCAAAGAATGCCTCGGGCGGCGGCAAAGGATGTTTGAGCGTCAGGGTTCCAACGTTGACGTTTCTCATAAGACACAAACGCTTTGACATCCTGTACTCTAAGGCCTAGACCCAGTTGTTTCGATTTCGATTATTCTATACATCCTTCACTGTCAATTTCGAGCTCGGGGTCTCGGGAGTTTGGTGCGTTGATTGCAATACCGCGTTTGCGAAGGGATGCAACTTCACAGCTCAGTCAGGATTAATGTTTGCACTGGCTTGGCATGAACCCTAAACCAAACTTCCCGGACCAGTAGGTGGCACGACGAGACTGTGGCCAGTGACACCGACCATAACAATAGTCATAAAGACAATCGCCCCCCCCTGTCGTCTCTTGCAGCGACAGGATTACGTCCAGTAGACAGAATCAAGAGGGTGGCCATGAGAAGAAGGGAAGAAATTGATGGTGGTGATGATGATGAGGAGGATGAGAATGAGGATGAGGATGAGGCTGACGATAACCACGGGGATGGTGGTGATGACGAGGATGAAGTCTACGGCCACGTGCGGGCAAGCACATGTATAACAAGAAGCAGAAGAAGAACTAACACGACCCCAACCTTCAAGCAACCTTCACAGGCAAAGAAAACACCTGTAAATCCTGAATCTCTCGTATCCAAAACACACATCAAAAAACTCTGACAGAACAAAAGAAATCGCATCCTGGCAGCTGCTGATGTCCCAAACGAGCCGAAAGCGGCCAAAGGGGGCGACCGGCTGCCAGCGGCCATTGAAACTTGGTGCCTGGTTACCATGACCAGTACTTCACGTTTTTCTACAATAAGAGCAAGAATGTCATACCGTCATACCCTAGACCCCAAACCCAAAAACCTCCTGACCCAACAACTGCTAAAACCCCAAGCTCGAAAATGATTCTAACTACCCTTCAAGTCAGGAACATACCTTGCATCATAATGCTAAGCACCTGGCAACGATGATACCTGATGTATAGAGCGCTTATGTAAGAAATGTTGAGATCTCATAACAGTGGTAGTCGTCGTCGTCGGTGTTGTGGTAGCCGGCAGTGGAGTGGTAGTGGTAGCAGTCGCGTGGGCGAGGTGCTACTGCTACTGCCACTGCTGTTAGTGCTTCTAGCGTGCTACTGCTACTGCTGCTGCTGCTGCTACTGCACTGCCACTGCCACTGGCACTGTTAACGGCTACTGCTACTGCTACTGCTACTGCTATGCTACTGCTGCTGCTACTGCTACTGCTACAGCTACTGCCACTGCCACTGCACCTGCTACTGCTAATGCTACTGCTATCACCACTACTACCACTGGACTACCACTACTGTCACTACCACTGCTACCAGTCTACCACAACAACAACTACTACTACTGCTACTACTACTACTACTACTACTACGACGACTGCAGCTACTACTATACTTACGCTTCCAGGGTTCTGGTGGTTCTGCGGTTGCGGGGATGTGGAAGCTGAAAGTCAGGTTTCCGGTTTTTGCTTGAAGGACTTCGTAGCTTCGACTGTTCTAAGCCCCTAGGATTTTGGGCCCTCAAAACGCCTTACTCCACTGCCGATGCTCAAGAAGAAGATCTCTGTGCTACTCCATGGAACCCCAAACCCCAACAACCCCCCTCCCCGAATCGTCCAATCCCAAACAAATGGAAATCTACAACCAAAAACTCGCAGACTGCTGACACACAAAAAGTCGCAATAAAACCGATCTGAAGTAGAAATAGGGCCTTGTCCATCGGTGCGAAAGAAGAGATACCTCGGGGCTCAAACCACGGTTTAGGGTTTAGGGTTTATGGTTTTGGGTTTAAGATTTAGGGCTTCACAAAGCTTACTGACACATGTGGATGATACTACATGCCCGGTACTAAAGTTTCGTCGCATCCGTTAGCAACACTGAACGGAGTACGCAGAGTCCGGGCTGTGAGGAATACCCTAGCCTAGCGGAGGAACTATCATCCGGGCATGAAATTATAGTACTAGACTATAATTGTTCCCGGCGGAGGACTTCTATGTATTCCCGGCGGAGGACTTCTGGATGAGTCTACGGGGAAAAAGGGTCTTGAACACTCATGTTGTAAGTCGATAACATAGACTGCGACGAACTTTCGGACCGGCACAGTATATACAAAGCTAATGGGTAGATGGTATGCTACAAGAGAGTTACTAGACGTTCAATGACATACACAGCGATAAAGAAAAGAGAAGTACGCACATCGCTCTGATGCCCAGAGGCCGATGCATCTGAGAGATGCCACTTACAGAACCGAGTTGCCGGAGAGTGGGTTCAGGCTTCAGGGTTTATGGTATGGCATCGATCCGCGCTCAAGCCCTTCTGAGGCAGATCGGCAATGCTCTCCTTTGAACCTTCTTGTGGCTTCCCCTAAAGGCCACTGCACAGCATCAATAAGCCTCAAGCCCGACATCCCGCTCAATCATCCTCAAAGCCCTAACCTCTTAACCCTAAAACCCTAAAACCCTAAAACTCGTAGGACCCTATATCCGAAAACCCCAAGACACTCTAACTCTGGATCCTGATCTCGCACCCAGCCGCTGCGGCGCCGGACGGGCGCGGGTGTCGAGGAGCCATCGGTCGTCCAGCAGCGCCGCGGCTCCTTTTTCGGGCTGCAGGCTCTGAGGATTTAGGTTGGAGGTTTGGGGTCGTAGGGCTGTAGCCTTGGGTGTTGAGGTTTTGGGAGATTAGGGCGCGCGGACATCAGTTCGCAAAAATCCAATCTACCCATTAAGTAAGAACTGTCCGGAAAAGCGAAGAAAGAAGGAAGCTTCCTCTGATTTTACGGTCCTGAACCCTGTACCCTGGACCCGTGATATTAAAGAGACTCTCCTGAAAACAACGCTGAGATCATCCCCGCCTTGTAAAGCCCATGCTGAACCAGCAAAGAGCAAGAGCAGCAGCGAGAGCAAGAGCTGTCGCAGCAGCAGCAGCAGGATCAGGATCAGGAGTCGCAGGGGCAGGAGCAAAAGCAGGAGCAGGAGCAGGAGCAGCAGCAAGAGCCACGGCACGAGCAAGAGCAGAAGCAGGAGCAGGATCCCCCAAGAGTGACAATAGAGATGGAACATCAAAACTTTATAATGAAAAAGCGTGGCGAGTGTTTATTGCGGGCTTGGATATCAGGGAGCACGGATAGAAGTTTGGGGATTCTAGCAATGTCCTCTCGTAGTTCCTTTATGACCTACATATGCTTCGAAAGAGGGTTTTGGATCATAGTACTGCGGTGTACGCGGCTCTCTGGGATGTAGTCTCGCCCCTGAGGCCCGTGGCCCGTAGCCGATGTCAGATCGCTCACTTTAAACCTTCAAGCCTGCACCCTAACCCTAACACAGTATTAGGGTACTAGAATCTCGGGGCCTTAATAATTGGAATAGGGTTTTGGGGCCCATATACTAGAACTACAATAAGGGACCCCCAAAAGAGTATTAACCCTAAACCCTAAACGCCGAAACTCTAAAACCAAGGCTCGTAGCTGATGTCGGATCGTTCACTCGACTCGGCAAAAACGCAGGAGATGTCGAGAAAGGCAGTCTCGGGAGCAGACATGGCGGGCTGCAGCATCCTCGACATGGACCCGCGCGGAAGAGACTTGGGGGTTTGGTGTTTTACGGTTATGGGTTTCCGGTTTGGGGTCTAGGGCCTAGGGTTTACAACCCGAAACCTTCAAGCGGCTGCAACCCCAAGCCCAACAACCACCAAACTCTCTTACGAGTCGGTTGCGGGCTCTGTGCGCATCTGAAGCCTTCAACGATTTGCATCGTTCCTGACACGAAGCGCGCCACCACGATGACGAAACTATACATCTGGGATTTAAGGCTTCTGGCTTCTAAGCATCCTAAAACCCAGCAAGTTTAAGATCCGAAACCCACATCTCCATCTACCCTGAGCCCAACAACCCCAAACACTCCGCACCAACGATCCCAAACCCGGTAGGCTGCAGGCCCTGCGTCCTCCGTTCAGCCCATAGCCAGCTAGTGAACCTTCAAACCCGAAACCTGAAGCCCAGAAACCTGAAAACCCGAGCCCCAAGATGTACCTGAATCCAGCAATCTACACACGAACAGCGTGACTGCTCAATAGGAAGGACATTTTGCGTGGCGGCACAGATGCTGAGTTTGGGTTGCTTGGGTTTAGGGTTTGCGTCTTCCGCTTCTCCGGCCTTATCAGTTACAGCCAAGGCCAGGGTTTAGGGCTTCAGCCCGTTTCGAAGGTAGTGCGTGAACTGAAGGATTAAGGTTCAGGGCCTGAGAGAAAATTCAGACACTGTCTCTTTTTGAGTGGCTTTGCTCTTACACCGAATTGGGATTCAGAGTTGAGCTCTGGAAGGCTAGAGCCCATGAGAAAACCTACGGGCCGACTCTGTCACGAAGAATCACCGTCAAAGCTGAGTCTTTGGATGAACCTTACCACGCCCGATCGGCAAATGATGCGCAGCCGAACATCTAGGAAGGTCCAGGCTTCAAGGTTGGGAAATAGAAGCCTCAGGTACATTGAGCCAAACCCCGTGAGGCCAGGCATCTGCTGCAGTTTGTGACCGTTGGACCTTGCCAGCTTCGCATCTTCCTCGCCGGGACTCCACGCCATCTGAGTTGCGCCTCGGTCCTCATAGCCGCTTGGCTTGGGCAATGCAAATTCCAACCCTCTGCATTCTAGGGCGCTCGGGGTTTTTAGGTTCACGGCACAAAGTTTGGACTAGGGCCTTTGGCTACAAGCCTCCACAGCGGTCCTTGGGAAGATGCACTTGCCTTACAGAGAGCGGCGACTGAACTTGAGCTCTTGGCGACTGCTGCCTTTTCAATGCTGCGACCTCCATGTCGTGGCACTCCGCTAGGAGTGCATGTACCTGGCTGGGAATCGGAGAGCGCGTAAGTCGAACTGGAAAGTGACGTCTACAATAGCACAAGCCGTGCTGATCATCAGGCAGTACTTATAGCATCTTATAATTATACGACATAAAGTAGAACGGGCTGAAGAAGGAGTATATAAATGCAGAGGCACAGGAAATTGGTAGTCGCAGTAGCACCGGAGCAGCAGCAGCAGGGAGCAACAGCAGCCGCAACACGTATTCTAATCCGCTGACGTGTCAACTCCCACTCCTTAACGAAGTCTGAACAAGGGATCCCAACACCTGCGGAGGGTACTTTAACATTACTGGTCATTTTGACAACTCGAAGAATGTTTTCGAACGCAGCTGCTTTCAAACGCCGATCAAGCCTCCGCAAAGCTCGGGACGGCTTCTGCCATGGATCCTGGCAGATTCAACGACGCCGGCTGCAGCCGCTGCCCGAGCGGCAACCGAAGTGACCGTGGACTCGTGTCCATGATCACAGTATTGCGTGCGCTCCAAATCAGCTGATGTAAGGGCTTAAAAGTGCGTAGGCGTAGATTACAAGTGCACGAATTAATCAAAGGCAAAACTGCACCAAATCATGTGGTTTGTTGAGTGCTGCGCAACTTGACCTGGCACAATACTTCCATATCCTGCTGACATATATTGTGATGTTCGTATATCTGTGCGTGAGTTTCTTGGCAGCTGCAACGCGCGAAACAAGCCGAGCCAGCTGCGTCGCAAAACAAACGCCACTTTCCAGCCTTCAATGAGCAAACTCAGAACGGGTACGGGCACTGAAGTTGTTGCCGTTGCTTGCTTTGCAACTTGTGGCTGTCAAAGACATCAAATCAGCTTGCCCACCACACCATCTTCCGGGCCAGCATCTGCAAAATTTATTGCATGTCATTGCCCACCTTCGTGCACCAAAAACCCGCTTCCCTCTCTGTTACTGTACTTGCAGCACGCTTCAAGTCGATAGCTTGAAACGAATCAGGACAAGCAGTATCTGAGTGCTATGCTTTGGAGTCCTTGGAGTTATCCAGCTGCATCTCGCTGAAAAAGTGGTGACATTGGACGTATTTCTTCGACTCCAAGAACGAATTCGAAAAGTGGTTCCCACGCCACCAATGCAGGCCCAAAAATGGGCCCGTTTTCTGAACCTTCGGAAAATCTCTCAATACTAGAAGGCCCCAATTCGCAAAATAGCAATTCCACATTGCCAAAAAACGGACCGGCGCCGACAAAATCGAATAGTTCGACTCGGCAAAACATTCTGTTTGTTTTTTGAAGAGGGATCAAACACGATTTTTCCCTGCGGAACGCATTTTGGGGACAATCTCTTTTGGATCACGTTGTTCTATGGTTTTGGAACACGTACTGCTGAGACTTCACGCAAGCACTATCCGTCGCCAAGCTCCACGGCTGCGGTTTTGGCAGCTTCAGCTTGTAGCCAAAGAACTGCAGCATGTACAAGGAAACTGACTCTACAAACTGGCCCATTCACAGACCCACGAGATGTAGTTCCAGCTCAGCCAATGCTTGTGCGATTCTGAACAAACCAGTTTGGCAGCGTTAGACTAACGAAGCGACTTCTGGAAACAAAGCCACTAGAATGTCGCACATGCGGATCGGACCTGAGACCACCAAGCTTGCCAAGCAAAAATGTGCTGTTGTTTCAGTTTGTGTGCAGCTGCGAAGCTGAAACGCTGGCTTGCTTTGAAAGCTTGAAGGTGTGCTTCCTTCGTGCGGAGTGTCCCGAGAGGTGTCTCTGCGTCGCCTGTGCTTTTTTTTTGGCGTGGGCGGGCCTCAAAGACAGCAGTTGCTGCACTCGGTCCCAGTAAGAACTACAAGAACTACAAGAAAGCAAAGAGAGAGAGAGAGACAGAGAGAGAGAGAGAATGCACACTGAGGTGAACGGGCTGCGACTTGCAGATTTCGCCGGCAGGCATCGTTCAGCCTGGTTATGTTTCAAATGCTAAAGCCGCTCAAAAGCCATTCTTCCAGACAGATGGAGTAGCACAATTGCACACTTGCGCATGTGAAGGTCCATCTGCCAGGAACGGTGGGGCACCCATTGCGTTCAAGGCAGGAACAAGTAAGAAGCGCATGCGTCCGGCGCCCGAAAAAATGGCTTGCAGGGGCACCGGATCCATCATGAACAGAGGCAGCGTCACCACAACCCACGGAACAAGGTGCATGCCAAGCAAGATGGAAGGTGCACCGACGAGTGGCGTTCTTAAGCCCAGCTTCCCACCAGGGGCATCGCATGGGCAATCACTGTAGCCGAGAATCGAAAGATGCAAAGCAGCCAAATCTCAAGAAGCTGCAAAGCGCACCAGCACTGGCAATAGAGATTGCCTTGCAACGTCTGATCGGTGAGGCAACAGCACCACCCAGTCAATTACTCTGATGCCAGAACGGCACACAGCCAAAGGATCAGCCCAGCTTCCCACCAGGGAGGGTCTCGCAAGGGCACCAAGGCCGTTAAGACAAGGGGCAGCAGCAGCACCAAGCACCGAGGCAAGGTGCAATCAAAATAGAACGCTGGTAAGTGACCGCAACTCTCCCTAGTCCAGCTTTCCACGTAGTGGGCATCGCAAGGGCCATCGCTCTGGCAAGTTGTTCTGAGGCGCAATCTAGTGGGTGCCCTTCGGTGCGGGCGTGCAGTTCCCCGTGCGGCCGTGCGGCAGGGTCTGCCCGGTGTACACCGCCAAGCTTTCCGTCCCGCATAAATCGCAGAGATCAGCTGCACCTGTCCCCCTGTATCAGGCAGGCGTTAGCCCTGGCATGCGGTTGACCTCGTCCCCCCCGTGACAGGATCAAGACAACCCCTTTGCCAGTGCTTCTTGCTAAGGCCACGATAGCCTGATCCCAGACCTTGCCGTCAGGCGTGGCGATAATGGGCTATCAATGAGTGCCATCAACGCCCCAAGCTCGCCCGCGCACGCATGGTGATAGGCCAGCTGCCCTCACATGGCGTCATCATAAGGTTTAGTCCGCCAGCGTAACCTGAGGAAGGCCCCCGCTCTGTCCCCGATCTCATGCTCCTTGCGGGGGTATTGGGCGCAGTGACCAACAGCGCGCTAAGCTGGTCGCCCACGAGGTCTCAGTTAAGCGACCAAGAAGAAAGCTCGGGGGAGACGACGCGGCGCCGCCGCCCGAGCCGCAGCTCCACGGAGCGCATCACTGCATATGGAGACCTCGTTCTTGTGGACCTCCTGGGTCGGGTAGTTAATGGCGGAGAGCTGCTGCGCGGTAGCCTCGAATGAGGCGCCGTCTACAGAGGAGGCCCTTCCAAGCATCCTAGAGAACAGCTTCCGGAATTGGCGCCGTAATTCGAGCGCTCTTTTGGCCCAAGTGTTGCAACGATGTCCGATGTGGAAGCACCTCCTGTTCCTCCCCCCTCAAAGAGTGGAGTTGCCGCAGGAGTGTAGAACGTCCTTCGTATATGAATGTCCTTCCTCGTCTGGCCTGTTGCTAGGAGACTTTGTCCGCCGTCTGGCCCGCTTGCGACAGGAGCGTGAGGATGCAAAGGTGTGGTATTGTCTGCGTGTCTACAAGATGTCTTGATTAGGTAGAAGCGTGCAGAGTCGCTAAGATCCTGAAAGCAGAGCAAAGAAGACTTCGCAAGGCATGGCTTTTTTGTCTGATGCCCCGTAGAATGTAGATGTTTGAACTTGCCCAGGCCAAGACAGTAGCACGGCAACTTTCTGAATCGCAGTAAGTGAGCCTTGTCGTTTCTCACACGATGGCACGCATGTTTTAACGCGCATTGAGCCCGGCACTGAGAGTGATCAGTGGTCAGTGAGCTTCGCTGTCGCCTCTCTGGTGTTGAACTGTTGCCCCAGCGCGAGTATCTGTTGAGCAGTGACTAAGCTCTGCCAGCTTTTAGTACGTGAGTCAGTGAGTGTGAGTGAGTGAGCTTTACTGTGACCTGCAGCGCGTAAATTCTTCTTCGCTGTCGGGTGAGCAGTGACCAAGCTTCGCTCTTTCTTTTCCAAGGGAATGAATGTTTACGGTTTACGGCTTTGAGCCCGGTGCTGAGAGTGATCTGCGGTGCGACCTTGCTGTGACCGGAACTGTTGCGTGAGCAGCTAGTAACTTCTTCGTCTTCGGTTGAGTGTGAGTCTTGTTGTGACCCGAACTGTTGCGTCAGTTACTGAACTTTTCAGCTCAGCAGTGTGCAAGCCTTGTCTGAGGCAGGGCACGAATGTTTTACGGGCGTTGAGCCCGGCACTTAAAGCGATGACGCTGCGGAGTGGGGTTTGCCATCTGGCAATGAGGTCTGCCATCTGAGCCGGTGAATGTATGAGCGTTGCCCAAACTGCTGCCTGAGCAGCTTGTAAACTTTTCGGCTAGTCTGTGATCCCAGCCTTCTTTTTCTGAAGGCCACCAAAACGTGGTTGCGTTGCGGTGTAGGGTTTAGGATGAGTAAGTGAGCCTTGCTGTAGTCCATGCGGGCAGCCAAAACTCTTTGTTGACATCTAGCAGGTTTTTCCGAATGCACGAATGTCAGCCCGTCATATCATGCTCATTCGCAAGTGCTTCTGAAATGTTGAGCCTGTTGCAAGGTCGAAGCTGAGCGCCGCAGTCTTTTACGTAGAGCAACACGCAGCATGGGAAATCTGGATCCGAAACTGTCCGCTTGCAGAAAGCTGGACAGGCAGACTCTACTGATCCGCCGCAGTTTGATTCGAGATTGTATGCTGCAGGGTGTGAGGATACAGACGAGGGAACCTGAACGAGCCCAGCGGTGGCGGGCAAATGATTTCACCCTTAGGACAAAGCCGGTGGTATAATACTCAGCTGCCAACTGAGTTTGATTGACTCCGGCATGTCTGGGACCTTCCACCCTTCTAATAGTGTTATACTACCCAAAGGGTGTGTAAGTGGGTTCCCTTGGTTTTTGCAGCAGATGGGGTGGGTTCCCTGTGGGTTCCCTTGTTTTTTGCAGCACTTCAGGTGGGCTACATATGGGTTCC